CAAATTTTGATTTTGGCTCTGGTTTGGGATTTGGCCCACTGAAAATACAATTATAAGGTCTATACAATAACTTTCTCTAGTCAATTATAAGGTCTATACAATAACTTTCTCTAGACTTAGGCAGTCACCTCAGAAATCACTAATTCCCTCGATCTCTGGCTTACATCTAATAGTCAGTGAAACCACTCACTTGTCAACATCTTAAATGCCCCTACCATCTTTCCCGCCTGACAGAACCTCCAATTTGGAAGAGTTAAATGAGTTGTATTCTACATGTCTATGCCAAGGCTGCTGGACTAAGTTGGAAAAAATACACAAAATTTAACAGATTGTAAATTCTGTCACCACTGTGGGACCCAAAGAAATCCTACTTTTCACTAGTCAGATGACTCAGTGAAAATGATTCCTTCAAATTGTCTTCATTCGTTTTGAAGTGTCTGCTTATCATCCTCTCCACCCCCTAATTTTCCATAAACTGCTTATCTCATTAAGAAAATACAAGCCATAACCCATATATTCCTTTCTGAAAGAATGCTGGTGGTGTCTCTTAGCTAAAGTAATTATTCCATCTTTGCAGTGGCTCCAACATCCTCTAGAATATCAGGTACTTAATGCTATTATCCTTCTTTTTCTCTATTCTTTCACTTTCTAATTGCCCCTTTCCACCAGAATAAAAAGAATTAGTAAGGTCTCTCATGTAATAAGTAGTAAGGTTTCATGTAATAAATAATAATTGAAAAAACAAACTCCTTCTTAGAAACCACATCTTCCAGCTACCACCCCTTTTCTCTACTTCTTTTCATAGCCAAATTTTTGGAAAGTTTTTAATTGCTGCCTCCATTTATCCCAAATCCAATCAATCAAATAATTCTCTTGATTCTACATCCTGACTGTATCTCAAAATCAATCACCATATTCCTACTCTGGTCCAAGCCATGATCATCTCTCCTTTGACAATACTTCCTATCATTTCCTACATTCACTTTTGCCCTCCAGTCTTCTTTGCACAACAACTAAAATGTTATTTTAAAAACTCAAGTCTCATCATGTTAACTCCTTCATTAAAAATCTCAAAGTTTTTCTTTGAACATAAATCATCATGGTTTATATATAGCCTCATGGGATCTGGCCCTTATCTTATTTTAATTCTCTAACTTAGCCTGGCTTCCTATGTCATAATCATACAAGTTTGTTTTCACTTCTGTAAAGTTTCTATGACTTTATCAACTTAGCACACTCTGCCTGAAATATTTATCTAGCTTTCACCTCACTCCTACTTATCTCATCTTTTGGGTTTCAGCTTAAGCTCACTTCCTCAGAGAAACCTTCCCTAATCCTCCCAGAGTAGGTTAAGCCTTCTAGATATATGCTTTTGTTGTATCTTGTAATTTTCTTTGTAGCATTCATCATAATTATAATTAGTTATTTACTTGACATTTATTTCCCTTGCTAGATGTAAACTTCATAAGGATTTTTGCCTTGTTCAGTGATTAATTTCCATATTACTGCCTGGGTTATAGCAAACATTCATACATTTGTTGAATGGTTGAATGAATGAAGGAAAGGCCATATTAAGAATATAAAACATGGTAAAAACAAATCCTTTACAGTGAGAACAGACCTTCTTTTTATTCATATATTGAGATAAACTGCAGAGACTGAAAGACAAAAATTCATCATAAATCATTCAGCAGAACATTCATTAAAAATCAAATGCATTTTCTTTAACAGAGTTCTCACACAGAAAATTTTATTTTATATAAGTCTGATATAACATTAAATATTTTACAAATCAGACATTTCATTGACATTTCATTTTGAAATCTAATTGTATAATCTTGAATGCACTATAGACAAATAAAGTAAGATCTCCTTTACCAATTTCACTTCATTTAACTTACACAAGGCTTCCAGTAAAATTCCATCACACCTTGAAAATTACCTGCAGCTTTTAAAAACATGATCTAAACTTCATATGGAAAGAAAGTCTTATGTAGCAACCCAAAAATTAAACAAAAAAGGTAAGAAGCATTTCTTAATACAAATAAATTATAAAAATATTATTTATGTGTGAGTTTCTTTCTTCTCATTGATATAGTCATCCATCCATATACAGTCCAAAGCAGTTCATTTTTAAATTGATGCTTAAAATACTCCGATGTCATTGAAAAATCTCTATTATTTTAGTGGTGCTCTTAAATGGCAAAGTAGAATATCAGATTAGAATGTCCCAACTCCTGGACTGAAGTGAATGAGACATTCACATTCATGTCAGATGTCATCTGTTATGCAGTTACCAGACAGCTTGGCAACAAGTAATTCCAATTTTTTATGGTAACTTACTAAAACATTCCAAGAAACACTTCTTACCCCTACATACTTCCAGATTGCTATAGAAAGGTACAATTATATTTGAAGTTGGGCCTTATAATAGGAATCTCTGTTAAAATATGGAAAAGATCAACAGAAAGAATCCACACCAATGAAATTCTGTGGACTGATTTTCAAAGTTAGAAATAAGAAAATCCACTGCTAATGGAAGCCCTGCTCTGTGCAAATATAATGTGGTATATATTAAACAATCACATATTTGAGGTATTAGCTGGAAAAAAAAATATATACATGTGTGTGTATATATAATATATATATATACACACACACACACACACACGTATACATGGACACATCCACAGAATATTCACAAATCTATTGGCCCCAAAACCAGCAGATAATAAAATTAAATAAATGAAAAGGAATCACATATCAACAGGAAAGTTACACACAGGAATTTACAAAAAATGTGGTTACATAATCCTTAATATAAGGAATATGTTTTGAACTAGTGTTCTGAGGGAAAATGTTTCCATTTATACGAAACTGTCTATTTAATAATAATAAAACAAAGAGGAAGCCTGAATTCGAGGACTGTATTGCCTGCCATATTATTAAAGGAATGTGCAAGAATTACTGAAGATCATCATTCTACCCACTTCTTCTTTGAACTTAAAAATTAGAATTAAAAAAACTTTGAAGTTATTGTGAGACTACCCTCTTTTCTTTTTCATGGGTTTATGGAGAATTTTATGGACTTTGGGCAGTAGTCCAATATGGCCAAGAGACAAGGTTTTTCAGCTATCTAGTACAGATTAAAATTAAGATTTATTGTTCATTTTCAGAAGATTTTCCGTTCAGTTAAGAAAAAAGATTATGGGGCTTCCCTGGTGGCGCAGTGGTTGAGAGTCCGCCTGCCGATGCAGGGGACGCGGGTTCGTGCCCCGGTCCGGGAGGATCCCACATGCCACGGAGCGGCTGGGCCCGTGAGCCACGGCCGCTGAGCCTGTGCGTCCGGAGCCTGTGCTAACAGAAAAAAGATTATGAATGCCTTTTCAGTTGGTTCACTCAGTATGAAGACAGATAATAGTAATACTGAACACAAGCTTCATATGGGAAAGCTAAATAAGTGCACCAATTCTCCTTTTGAATCATTTGGTCTTTTGACATAATTCTTACTTAACTAAAAAGACGGCTCATTTGGTCCTCAGGCCAACATCTAGAAATATTTCACTGCCTTAACACAGGTGGGATATTTTTTTAATAAAATACGTTAGAATGCATTATTAAGTAACACTAACATGTCCCATCTGTTAAATAACAGCTGCATTTAAAAATATTACAAATCAACAAAGGGAAATCAAGAGGTTAACCATTTCTCTCAGTAACAATTTTACATACTAGTATAACTAAAGATTTAACAGGAAGAACATTTAAGCATGAAAGTGCAATTAAAGCAAAGGGCTGGAATTCTATCTTCCTGTTCCTAATAACACCTGAGCTGACATAAAAGCAAAGTGGTTTACTGCACTGGCATAGGTATACCTTAAGGGCTTACACTTCTCTACCAAATCTTTGTAATTATCATATATAAGAATGTAATGATTATGAAACAAATACTTATTTAAGCATTCAAATGCAGTCTGTTCCCAAAACATATTGTTTTCACTTATTATTTCTCATTGTTGACAATTAAATTCTCAGATTTGATCACAATAAATTCCAAAACTTACAAATGACTAGCACCTATTTGGAAACAAAGGAATTAAAAGAGGAGGAGAAAAGGTACTATTTACTTTCCCCCAAATCCTCACAGAGACAATGATGTTTGTGTATGTGTTTAAAAAGGGATAAAAATGTAAAGCACTAATAAATATAATTGCTGCCAAACTTCTAAAATACCAGTTAGAAAAGCTGGTAAATCAATACTCAAAGCTTGAGGGCTTTTAGGCAATGATTAAAATGAAGAGGACAAGTTATCAAATTAAACTGGAAAGCTCAGGTAGCTAAAAATAAGATGGCAAAATGGAATTTTTGTTAGAAGAGCAGCAAATGTGAAAATCTTACATCTCAAGATAGCTGACACTGTAAATCATACACTTTGATTAAAAAAAAAAGATAGTAGAAGTCTTTTTACTTTGTAGAATTAACCCAAAATTCTAAGACACTTGGACGGGCCTTTACACCATGATACAGGTGACATTAAGGACTTACTTTTTACTTGCATACTTTACACGTGGCTTAAATTGTCAGGCACTCGATCAGTCATTTCCCACAGTTGTTTGAAAATTTTATCAAATGCATTTTATGAAATGAAATGTAATGCAACTGAAATATAGTACTGTCCAAAAGCCATGTATGACTTCACAATATATAACTTCACTTAACTTGATAACTTCACCTATCCCCTTAAAGTCAGGATTAAGGGAAAAAGAATCAGTCAACAAGAGTTCAATTCACATAAGCATCAATCACAATAGTGTAAATATCCCATTAAAACTGGAAAAATAATGGATGAAATTTTTTTCATTTATATTTGTATAAGTTTGCTGATGCATATGAACTTTCAAAGTTAATTAGAATGCTATGACCTTGTTTTTAAGAAACTAATTCTATAGGCTGAAGAAAATATTTTAAATTGTATTTTCTTTTAAGCACGATATTTTTTCTTTTTAAGGTTGCATTTCTAAAGAAAGTTGGTTAAGCTGTCCAGTTTTCCTAGGATAGTATGCTGTTTAGTTAAACAACTAATTCAATCAAGCATTTCTATTGATTTACTTGGAAAAGGGGATACAAGAGAACATTTAAAAAAGAATGGTCATTTCAGAAGTTCTATTCAACAGATGGTATATAAATTACATTCAGAAAAAAATCTTTAAATAAAAGAACACTGCACTCTAACTAGCATTCTCTCACACACAAAAAAACCTAACCAAAGATGTGCTCATGTTCTGTTAAATGAGTATGAAAGCAAAATCATTAAAATACAACTGTTAAACATAGAAGAAAGAAAAAAAACACAGAAGACTAGAAATCAAATAGTTTCATATCCAACATACCGGCACCAAAAACTTCAATTTCCAGCTGATTTTTCCAATTTACATTATGGATTTAATTATAAGGAGCTTATTCCTATAGGATTAATTGAATTACTCAATGGTGAATAGATTTTAGCTCAAATTTTTGTAAGGATAACTTGCTATAAATCACTATTCTACCTACTGCTGTTTCTGCTCACTGCTGTATATGGCCAAACAGATCATGCTCTGATCAAGTAAGTCTCATGTTAATCTACCTATATGTTTACGAGTTGGCAATCAGGTTAAAAGGCACAAAGCTTCATTTCAGTAGTAATTTTTCCTATTACTTAGACAATATTAAGAACTCATTTAGTTTCGGATCCTGTTTACTAAGGATCCTGATCATTAAGAAGAAACTGCAAATTTCCATGGAGGGTAAAACGGGTAGGCCCTTTTCTTCATAAATTTTAGCAGCCTTCAAAGATGTATATATATGAACATTTGGGGGCCTTTTAGTTACTGGAATTGCAAATGACATAACTGCAATTTACTGTTGAAGACCCTTTTTGGTTAATGTTTATATAGCCATTTCCTCATATTTTCTTTAAAATCTATCAGTATAGCATTTCATTTCTATGCATGGCTTAGCAATTCATAAAACTAAATAAATAGCAAACTGACACTTTACACCAGTTCATTTATCTCAATATATAATTTAGAATATAATGGCAATATTAAAAATATCGATTCCCTCTACGCTGATAATGCTACAAGATTTTACACAAAGTTAAACAACTTTTGTTTTTTCTCTTCTTTTTGATAAAGTTTCATTGCAACCTCCACACACTGGACATCTGACAAGGAAAATGTAATTTCGTCATAAAACATTTATTCCATCACTTTAAACTAAAGTGTCTCATGGAGCTAAACACCAAAATAATTTAAATAAAAAGGCAATAACCTATATATACAGAAAATGATCATTCCATAAATATTTACATGACAAGGGAAAAAAATTGAGAATCTAAAACCAGAAATTGCTACAGGTGTGATAATCCTTTCTCAAGACATTTTAAGTTAGGAATCATATAAGTTTTTCAAGTGAAAATAATTGCAGAAGCATAACTAAAATATTAATTTTAGTTTTCAGTTTCTTACTATTTAAAGGAGCCAGTAGGTCATAAACAGTCCAAGATTTCAGGGACCAACTATTCAGTTTAGTTTTCAACATCAAATCTTTTACTTCAGCTCTCACGATGAAACTAAACTTACTTACAGAAAAAATAGAGAGTACTCTAAAAGGTATAAATAAAATTCCAGTTCATCCTCCTTTATAAATACTGGTCAGCCGCTCCAATTCTTTACAGTTGTCCATGCTCAAGGCATCTGCCTTCCTTCGGAGTCGTTCATCATGGTATACTTTTGCTGCATACTGCATATCTGTTTCTGTTAACAACAACCAAAAAAATTTTCTAAGTAAATAGTAATTTAGATCAACTAGTTGTTTAAACTCGAAGATGTTTCATATAAGTCCTTCAATATATTTCTATTAACTGTTTGTTTGTTTGTTTTAAAGAAATCCAAGTACTAGACCTAAAAGCCATTTGGAATCCTACCATGTGAAACAAACACAGAGGGACTTCCCTGGTGGTGCAGTGGTTAAGAATCCGCCTGCCAATGCAGTGGTTCGCAAGTTTGAGCCCTGGTCCGGGAAGATCCCACGTGCTGCAGAGCAACTAAGCCTGTGCACCACAACTACAGAGCCCGCGTGCCACAACTACTGAAGCCCTTGTGCTCTAGAGCCCACGTGCCGCAACTACTAAGCCCAAGTGCTGCAACTACTGAAGCCAGCACGCCTGGAGCCGGTGCTCCACAACAAGAAGCCCGCGCACTGCAACAAAGAGTAAGCCCCGCTCCACTGAATTTGTTGAATTCTATATTGAAAATTTTAAACATACACAAGTTGAGTACCACAATAAACACTCTAAAACCCCTCACCTTGATTGACCAATTCTTCACATTTTGTGAAACTACTGATATTGATCTTGTTGGATTGTTAAAAGATTAAACTAAATTATGCCAGAAAAACTACTTGACTTATGCTAGGGATGGAGTAAAAAAAAATAATAATAAAAAATAATAATATAGAATACTTATGTACTTATGGGTACAAGACATTACGCTAAGTGTTACCATATATTATCTGTTATGGTCCATATTTTAATGACAAGATAACTAAGATTTAGAGAGGTTAAGTAACTAGATAATGCACTGGTGAAGACAGGATCTTGCAAGGCAGTCCCAGAGCCGGCACTTTAAACATAACATTACACTCATTCATAAACATGAATATCTTTCCTTCTTTCTTTCTGTTTATGCAGTCAATTCCCAATTTTTATTTAAGGTAATAGAATGTAAGTATGCATAACCCCAAAATCACCCATATTTGGCTGGGGACTAGGACTTGTATTTGAAAATGAGATATCTAATGTGCTCGTCATTCTTTTAGCACAAAATAAGCAGGTCTTTCATACATTTATTCATATGAATTCATTAATCATTCATCCAACTGTTCATATATCCATCAAAAATTTACTCTGCCTATGTTGTACCAACAATTGTGCAAGGTGCTATAGATCAAAAAATTAGGTGAAATAAAATTAAATAAGTAAAATCTGGGAAATACTTCCCTTAAGACCTTTGGCTAATGCACGGTTTCCCAACCTCAGCAATACTGGCATTTGGGGCTAGATAATTCTTGGTGTGGAGGTTGTCCTGTGCATCCTAGAATGTTAGGCAGCATCCCTGGCCTTAACCCATCAGATGCCAGTAGCAATCCCTTCCACCCCAACCCCGTGTTGACGCCCACAGTTTCCAGACATTACCAAATGTTCCCTGGGAGGCAGGGGCAAATCATTCCCAGCTGAAAAACCACTGGTCTTATGTAACCTTCTCCACTTTGAGAACATACTGATTCACAGACTCAGAGACTTAGAAACCAAGGAGGTTTCTCCTCTAACTATCAGTATACAGGTGAAGAAACCAATGCCAGAGATAAGAATTCTCTTAGAAGTATACAATGGTTATGTTTTATCAAATTTTCCCTAGTGGATAAGAGATGATAATTGCTCCCATTTTCTGAGTATTTACTACATGTGAAACACTTCAACTATTGCCTGATTTAATTTTCACAACAAGCCCATAAAGTTAGGTATTAGAGAGAAGACTGTGAAGCACAGTGCCTAGATTATGAAAGCAAATTGGTTTTGAATCACAGATCACCTCAATGACCTTGGGCAAGTTACTAATTAATTTCTCTATGCCCCAGTTTCCTCATATGTAAAGTGGGTATAATCGCCTCACAGTGTCATTGTGGAGCTTAAATGAGTTAATATATATAAAGGGCTTGGGACAATGACTGAAAAAATAGGCATTATATAAATTATAGTTACTTCCTGTACCCACTCATCATCATCATCATCCATTTTATACACGAGGGAATTCATAGAGGTTAGAATATTCGGCCTTCATCACTCAGCTAAAAATTTCAGACCTAGGATTCAACTTTAGCCTGTTTAATTCCAATGTCTACACTATATGGTCTATATTATTATCTGGAACAGTAAGAAAAACACAAAACTATAATAACAGTTCACATGGAGCATCTCAGCAGATTCTTATGGTCCACAGTCAATCTTTTTATAGATATAACTGCTTAAATTAAGGAAGCTGAGGCTGGAAGAGGCTAAACAAATTAAGTGTTCACAAGAACTTCTCTACCTACAAAGTAAGTAAAGGAAGGTGGAATGTCAACAAAACTCATTGTACATTGTGTTACCTGTTGAAGCTAAATTGATGAAGAGTTTCAAATTTAATTCTGAAACAGGATACATATTAAAACTGATGACAAAGTTTATACCAGGATTTTTTTCTTTCTTAGTGGTACATAAAATAATGTTGCATGTTACAACTGACAACATCTTAAATACAATGAAATTTGATATTATCTACTTATTCCATCAAATATTTATTAAGAACAATAACATAAATACCATTTATTAAGTTCTTGCCATGTGCCAAATATTGTTATAAGACCACATGTACATTAAAACATATTGTCTCATTTAAGTACTGGGCTCCGAGTATGTGCCAGGCAATTCTAGAACATTTCTTGAGTAGGGAAATCTACAGTAATCAATTCCAAAGACTCTGAATAAGTTTTTAAATGTTAAATATTTGATAAACTTACTTTGTTGTCTTTCTTTCCAGCAATTATTTCGAATATTAGTCACATAATCTTCTTCCACACTCTTTTCTACCTTTTGTAATAACATTCCTTTATATTCATTTTTAAAGTCTTTGTTGACATAATAAACGACACCCAAGTTTTCTGTCTGCATTTTAATCGTTTGCCCTGATCCACTGTAAAAGAAATGCTTGATCATTATTTTTTTAATTAAAATTGTACATTCTGATCTGCTTCTACAAATCAAGCTAATAAAAATAATTAAAAAGTCAATATTGGTAATCAAATATTTAATATTATCTCAAATTACCTAAAACCACCATTTATGTCATAAAAAAGTAATCATATTTTAATACATTATGTTCCTATAAGTTCTCTCCATTTTTAGTTAATAAAAAACTTATTTGGAAAAAATAAATCACTTCTTATTTTTAGACCAATCTGTTTTTAATACTATATAATCACTAGCAATATGATTTTACAAAGTTTCCATTATATTCATTGTATTACACTAAAGTTTTTTGGAAGGTATGCTGCATTAAATTTGCTATATGTCCTGATAGCTTATATATAAAGTATATTGTGGAAAAATACCTCATATAACAAAAAAGTAATATTTGCTTTTATTTAATCAATATTTTATAAACAGAAGAGTGAAGTCATATCCTCTTTAACGACACAAATCCTATGTGAGATCAATCACAACTCTATTTTTGTCTTTAAAGTCATTTTGTCTTCTAAAGCTTTTTGTCTTTGATGTCAACACATTACCTATTACATTAAATTGCCAACAAGTTCGAACGTAACACTTCTGTCTTTATCCACAATAGAACAGAAATGTAAACTAACATAATACAAACTTATTGCATAAGTAAACTACCTTTAAAATTAGACATTTTAAAATCAGGTACACATGTAGTAATAGAATATTTGGCACTTAAAAGTTTAAAAGAGCACAAGGCCCTTTAAAGTTAGTTAGGTAAGATACAACAGTGCTTTTTTTGTAAAACTTCACTGAGCTACTTACGATCTGGGATATAGGGAATAAGGAGGATTAGAGACCATCAATTGGCTTAATAATGACACGAGGATCAATACAATAATGGGCATCAGCTGGATAAACACAGAAAAACCTCCCTACAAAAAAATCATCAAAGAATAACAAATTGTAATATAACTTTAGTTGTCAATAATCCAACAATTGTCAAACATTTTTAGAGGAAGAAAGGACATTTGAGATCATCGGTTCAGTGCTTCCAAATCTGCCTGATCATACCAACGTCCTGGGGTGATTCTTAAAAATACAACTTTTTAGGTGCTTCACCTAGAGATCCTGATCATGATTTGGAAAACACTGGTATAACCTGATCTCATTTTACAGATGAGGAAGTTCTCTGTCTCCCTCTTTTTCTTCATACACAGAGACTCTATCAATATGCAGCAGGTTGCAAAACTATTTTTATCATAAATTTGAGGGTGGAACACGGACAGTGATGAGAGTGGCACAGCTGGGGACCAGACCTTTTAATTTCTGGTCCAGTGCTCTTTCCATTTCCCTTTCTCCTTCACGTAGTTTAACAGCTATATGCAATTAGGTATAACCGCATTAGAATAAGGCAAGTTACTTCTAATTTAATTTTTTCAGTATTAATTTTAAATTATTTAGAACCAACAATAAGAATTTACGTTCAGAACATGCACACTGCAAGTTTACCTTCATTAGAATCATAGAATACCAAATGTGAAGGTGTCATATTGCCCAACCGCCCCTCACCTTGACTTCTACCCCTGCTCCCCCAATATCCCTAAGGGATTCTCTAGTTTCTATTGAACACCTCTGGTAAAAGAAAACTCATTACTTCCTTTTAAAACAACGTGCCCTATTTTCAGACAACTCTATGCTTTTCCCGAGCTGAGATTTGCCACTCTCTGATTTCTAATCATATCATAAACATACATCTCCTCTTTCTTCTTCTCTTTCATGTCCACTATGTTGGTGCTGATGTTGACTGCTATAGCCAGCTCGTCCATTTGAAAATGAATGTACACTACCTAGAAAATTAAAAGCAAGGTTAAGTTAGGGAGAACAATTATCATCAGAAAAATCATATTTTCCTTTATATTTTTATATATTTATTTTTAATTACTAAAACAATGCATGTTTGAGTAATGAATGCTTATTGCCCTCTCCTCTTGTGAATGAAGGGTGGATAAAACCAGGAATGATTCTTCTTTGCTTCCCTTAAACTAAGGAGAAGCTCTTTCTTGATGAAAACTTGAATGAGAGGTCCTCCCTAATACTGCATACAGAGAGGACTTTTGCTGTGGTTGGTTGATTTTACAAACCTTGGATCATTAATCTGAAACTCTGCTTTCTGCATTTATCAATGAATCACAAGTACTTCTAGAAATCAAAAGCTCGTGCTCTAATTCATTTTTTAAAAAACAGCTGTATAATATACTATGGTACAGGTGGACCACAATTTTCAAACATTTTCTTGTTGATGGACATTCAAGTTGTTTTCAAAAAAGGTGACCAACCAGAAATGGCTATCACTGATAAAGTAAACTACGTTATAACAAGCAAAAGAACTGCAAATCAACTATCAGAAAATTTCACTATTGTCTGAAAGATGTCTAATTGTTCCCAGCATATTTTTAGTCAAAATTATTAGTCTGAATAATTTTTTTGTGACAGGTAATTATGTATCCTAGTATATCAAAATGCAGGTTATATTTTCAGTCATTAATTTGTATTTACACATCCTCTTTCTTTCAAGGATGCTTTACAAAATGCCTTATCAATGATCACAATCTTTCTCAATAATATTCAGACAGGACTACCAGGCCAAATTATTATTGCTACATTCATAAAGACTATCCTAATTTTGAATAGGATGTTTAACTTAGCACCTTTTGTTACTGCTGTAAACAAGACTGGAGCTATAATTTTAAACACCTTAGAGAGGCTACTCTTAAAGAAAATTAATTTCCACACAAGCAACTTACAGTAAATGTAAGTAAAACACAGTACTACTTATGCTGGTCCTAAAAATCTATTCATTTAGTAGTACTTCTACAGTATTTTACTTCGATAGCCTAGTTCAAGAAATTATTTCTATCTTAATGTAATTTTTTAAAACCCACTTACTTTATATGTAACTTATGATTCAGACATTTCAATGGACAGTACCTCCACATACAACCATATTAACAATCTACAATATTATTAATGAAGTCTACAAAGATCTTCAAAGAACCAATGTCAAATAGTCTTTCAAGGTACAGGTTACTTCCTACAATTGTATTGGCACTTAACTAATGCATTGCCACTGGATTTCCTACTTACAGATCCTTTCTTCAGCTCTATGTAAAATACACAACATCTTTTAAAAAATAAAGTATGTTCTAGGAAAAAGACAGACTTACAATAAAGGTAATAAGTCTAACAATTTTCTTCTATCTTCACGAAAAACCATCACAGGATCATAATACTATAAGAAAATGTCAGGGAGAAGGTACATAAATCCCTAAATAGCCTAACTGGAGGTGATGATCTCTAGTTTCATAAAGTACAAATATTTATAACTAACATTAAAATACCTGAAGGAAATCCACCACCAAAGAATATATTAAACAAGTCTTCTGGAGTTATATCAGCTTCACAACCTCTATGGAAATTAAATCTACCATTGTTCTGCTGATTACATGCTTGTTCTTCATTGCCTGTGAGGTCATACTGCTTTCGTTTTTCTGGATTGCTTAAAACCGCGTAAGCATTTCCAATCTCTGAAAAAGTAATGAGCAAAAGTTGATAAGCAAAGCTTTTATATTATAAAAGACTGCCCCATATAAAGGCTACTTGTCAAACAACAACAAAAAACGACTTGAGGTTAATCAAAAAAATAATAAGACAGTAACAATTTCTTTTAAAGGTATTATACATTGCTTACAATTACACATATTACCTCCTAATACAATTTTTTGTATTATCCAGGCAAGTCTCTCTACTGCCTTGAACATAAAGGAATGCTCATCTTGCTTTCTTACCATTGTGCTCCCCTAACTCCCTGCTTCTTTTCTTGAGTATCCCAATCTAGTCATTCATGACTGCCCTTCAAACCAATAATAATAGCAGTAGCCACCAACTACCAGGCTCTGACCCCAATATCTTATTACTTTATCCATTAGTATCTTAACTTTACAGATGAGCCCCCTGAGGTTCAAAAAGGTTAGGAAACTTGTTCAAGATCAAATTTATTTTAGGATAGTAAGTAAACTCTATGCAACCTACACCATAAACCTTTTTTTGCACACTCCAGCCCAGAGTAAGCTATTCTTCATTTTATTCCTGAACAATTTATTTCTCTTAAACTGTCAACTCCATGAGGGTAGGGACTGTATCTAAGTTTTCACTGCAATATTCCCATGGTAGAGCATAGAGACTGAATTTGTTTTGAATGAATCCATATATCCATATCTCTAGTCCTCCTATCTCACTTTGCTACTTTCATGATACTCATAAAGAATTCTATTGCCTACCTCATACTCCCATGTCCAAAAGAGCACATTAATTACCAAAATGTCTTCTCGAGGTAATTTACAAAAGCTGTAATGCTTTAATCTAAATGCAAGAATTACTCTATTCACATTCTGAAACATCTAATAATTAATCATTTTATAAGAACAGCTTACTTCTTAAACTGGATCATAAACCTCTTGCATATGAGATTATTTTTAAAATACTTTTGCGATCCCATGTGGTGGCTGCCATAGGCACTGTGCAAGCAAATACACGCTCATTAGGTAGTTGTTTCTGGAGGACTACATATCACACTGAAATTAATCATATACAGATACTCTGGACCCTTTCTTCTGATTCAGAGATAGCTTTCAGGTGGTCTGTGAACACTATGGTATGGTAGTTGTTTTTGGATGACTACATATCACACTGAAATAATTATATACAGATACTCTGGACCCTTTCTTCTGATTCAGAGATAGCTTTCAGGTGGTCTGTGAACACTATGGTATGAAAAATTAGGTGGATGGTCCATTTATCTGAGGAGATGATCCAAAACCTTCTTCAAATTTTCAAATAGATCTGTGACTCAGAAATATAGCAACCATTTATAATGCTGCTCCAATGGAGAAGCATAATCAGAGATCCCAGCAATGTACTTACAAACACCATCAAGGTATTAACACATATCTAAAAAAGAAGTATATCTTTCAATATCTGCCAAAGTTGTACTTCCAGTAATAATATCAGTTTTAGGATTTAACCTCTGCACTAAAAGGACTCGTTCAGGTTCATAATGCTATTACTTTTTATACTAATAATATATTGGCAACCCAATTCTACCTTTAAAGCTTTGCTTTTTAAAAAAATGACTTCCAAACATTATGATGTTTTAGAAAATATTTGTGAAAGAAGACAATTTATTCTATCTACTGTGACTAATTTTCTATTCACTTACTTTGTGCTATACCTATAATCAAGATTTTTTTTTCAGGTCCTTATTATCTTATGAATTAAAACCAAAATTTATTTTGGTATTCAAAAGGCTCACAAAATACATTTCCATCTCAGTGTTATTTACTTCACTAAAAAATAACTTCTGCTTTATTCATTTTTCCTTAATCACACTTTTTATATCTTGAGGTTAACTTTAGAGTCACATGAAGTTGTAAAAAATATTACAGAGAGATCCCTTCTACCGGTTACCTAATTTCCCCAATGGTAATATCTTATAAAATTATAGCACAGTATCACAGATAGGATACTGACATTGATATAATCAGGATATAGAACATTTCCATCACCATCTCAGGTTGCCCTTTTATAACCACACCCACTTCCTTCCCCCTCCATCCCCTCTTTAAATCCCCACAACAACTAACCACTCTATTCTCTATTTCTAAAATCTTGGCATTTCAAGAATGTTATATCAATGGAATAATACAGTATATAAATAGAATGACACCTCCCAGATTGGTTTTAAATCAGCATAATTCTTTGGAGATGGATCCAAGCTGTTATGTAAGCCATTCATTCCTTTTTTATTGTTTTCCATGGTATGGATGTTTGTTTCACTAATAACCCAGTGAACAACATCTGGGCTGTTTCTAGTTTTTGGTTATTACAAATAAAACTGCTACGTAGGGACTTCCCTGGTGGCACAGTGGTTAAGAATCTGCCTGCCAATGCAGGGGATTCAGGTTCAAGCCCTGGTCCGGGAAGATCCCACATGCCGTGGAGCAACTAAGCCCGTGTGCCACAGCTACTGAGCCTGCGCTCTAGAGCCCATGAGCCACAACTATTGAGCCCATGTGCTGCAACTACTGAAGCCCACACACCTAGAGCCCATGCTCCGCAACAAAAGAAGCCACCGCAATGAATAGCCCCCGCTCGCCACAACTAGAGAACGCCTGCGCACAACAACGAGGACCCAACGCAGCCAAAAACAAATAAATTAAAAAAAGAAAAAAAAACTGCGGGCCTTCCTGGTGGCGCAGTGGTTGAGAGTCCGCCTGCCAATGCAAGGGACACAGGTTCGTACCCCGGTCCGGGAAAATCCCACATGTCGCAGAGCGGCTGGGCCCGTGAGCCATGGCCGCTGAGCCGGCGTGTCCGGAACCTGTGCTCCGCAACGGGAGAGGCCACAACAGTGAGAGGCCCACATACCACAAAAACAAACAAACAAAAACAAACAAAATAAAAACTGCTACGTACATTCATGTACGTGTAAACATAAATTTTTATTTCTGGGATAAATTCCCAGAAATGCAATTGCTGGGCTGCCTATTAGTTGAATACTTAAGTTTTGTGAGAAACTGCTAAACTGTTTTACAGAGTGACTGTGTCATTTCATATCCCATCAGCAATGTATAAGTGATCCAGTTACTCTGCATCCATACCAGTATTTGGTGTTCTTACTAATTTTTACTTTAACCATTCTGATAGGTCTGTAGTGATATCTCATTTTGGTTTTACTTTGCATTATCCCTAATGGCTAATGAATGATATTAAAAAACCTTTTCACATGCTTATTTGCCATGTGTATATAATCTTTTGTGGGATGTCTCTTCATGTCTCTTAACCAATTTCTAATTGGGTTGTCTGTTTTTGTTTTTTGTTTTTTGTTTTTTTTGGCGGTACACGGGCCTCTCACTGTTGTGGCCTCTCCCGCTGCGGAGCACAGGCTCTGGACACACAGGCTCAGCGGCCATGGCTCACGGGCCCAGCCGCTACGCGGCATGTGGGATCCTCCCAGACCGGGGCACGAGCCCGTGTCCCCTGCATTGGCAGGCGGACTCTCAACCACTGCGCCACCAGGGAAGCCCGGGTTGTCTGCTTTTTTAATTTGGGGTTTGGGGAGTTCTTTATACAACCTAGATACTAGTCCTTTGTCAGATATGTGCTTGGCAAATATTTTCTCCTATCTTGTTGCTTGTCTCTTCTGTTACTTCATAGCATCTTTGCGGAGCAAACAAAAAATTTTTTGATGAAGTCCAACTTATCCACTTTTTGTTTTATAAACTGTCTAGGTTAAGTCTAAGAAGTCACTGCATAGCCTAAGATTCTAAAGTTTTGCTTCCATGATTTTTTGCTAAAAGTTAAAGTGTTGTTTTATATTTATATTCAATATTCATGTCGAATTCATTCTTATATAAAGCATGAGATTTAGGTCAAGGTTAAATTTTGTTGTTGTTTACCTATGAATGTCCAATTGCTCCAAAACCATTTGCTGAAAAGGCTATCTCTTCTCCACTGAATTATTTTGCACCTTTGTCATATTGTATGGGTTCCCTGTCCCGTTCCATTGATCTATGTGTCCGTCCCTCTCCCAATATTACACTGTTTTGCTAACTGTAACTATAAAGTAAGTCCTAAAATCAGGTACAATAATTACTCCTACTCCTTACCTTTAATGAACCATTTTTATTTATTCAGGTTCTTTGTATTTCCATATGAGTTTTAGAATAAACTTGCTCTTATCTACAAAGAAGTCTTGTTAGGATTTTGACAGGAACTGTATTAAATGTGCTTATCAACTTGGGGAGTCTTGACATCTTTACTACCATGTCCTTCAATCCATGAACATGATATATCATTCCATTTATTTAGATCCTCTGATTTCTTTCATTAGTATAGTATAGCTTTCAACATACAAATCTTATACAAGTTTTTTTAAATTTACAGCTAAGTATTTCTTGTGTGTGTGATTGTAAACAGTAATGTATTTTTAATTTCAGTGTCTACATGTTCACTACTAGTATATAGAAATATGCTAAATAGAAATTGATTTTTGTATGTTTATCTTGTACCCTGAAATCTTGCAGTATTCACTTATTAGTTCTAGGAGTTTTTTTTTTTTTTGGTACATTCCATGAGGATTTTATACATGATCATGTTACTTGCAAATAGGGACAGTTTGATCTCTTCCTTTCCAATCTGTGTGCCTTTTATTTCCTTCTCTCACCTTAATGCACTGACTAGAATTTCCAACACTATGTTGAGTAAGAGTGGTGCAAGGGGACATTCTTGTTTGTTCCCAGTGTTAGGGGGAAAGCATTAAGTCTTTCACTGTTAAGTATACTGTTAACTGTAGGTTTTCTATAGTTGCTCTTTTATCAATTTGAGACAGTTTCTTTTGGAATTACTATTTTTCTATCAGTGTTTTATTTCCTGTCAGTTTTACCATGAATGAGTGGAGAAATTTTTCAAATGCTTTTACTGCACTGACTGATAAAATAAGATTTTTCTTATTTAGCCTATTAACACA